GCTTCCTGGCTGCCATGGGTTGAACAGCTTTCCTCCACCATGCCCTTCCATCATGATGTTTCTGCAGGGAAGCCAGCCAACCATGGACTGAGACCTCCAAAATCATGAGCCAAAATGAATCTTTTCTTGTTTAGGTTTTTCTTGACAGTTATTTTGGTCACAGTGATGAGGATATGGCATGGGTTAGAGGTTGTGGTGGATGAGATATATAGAAAAGATAAAGAGAAGCAAGACTCAAGCCCAGGGCTAGGGCTCAGGAGTGGAACTGCCCAGCAAGGCAGCACTGTCCTCTGCTTTACTCCAATGCTTCCCCACCTCATCTTCTATCCTCCAGCTATATGGAAAGCTAGATGAGAAATTAGCATGGAGTCAGACTGTTGGACCCAATACCAGCTCCAACACTCACTAGGTGGAATGGTTTGGATCTGAAAATCCTCCAATAGCTCATGTGTTGAAGGTAGGTGGCCCAGCTCAGATATGCTCAGAGGTGGGACTTTGGAGAAATGACTGGAACATAGCTGAATGGGCTACTAGGAGGTGGAGCCCAGCTGGACAAAGTAGGTTACTGGGTGAGACTTTGAAGGGTATACTTTAACTCTGGACCCTCCTCCCCCTGGTTCCCTCTCTGCTTCCTGGCTGCCAGGAGATGAGCAATCTCCTCTACCCTTTGCTCTTGCTGCCATTATGTTCTAACTCACCGCAGACCCAAAGCAATGGAACCAGCCAAACCTGGGCTGAAACCTGAGCCAAAATAAATCTTTCTTCCTCCAAGTTAATTTTCTCAGGTATTTCTCAAAATACCATAAAGCTAACACACTAGATATATAACTTGGAATTTTAATTTAATACTTTAATTTTCTGTGCTCATCTTCTCCCATCTTTAAAATCAGGATTCTAATATCTATATCTTAGATTGTTGTGAGAATTAAATGCAATGCCTACAAAAGTACCCAGTACCTAACATGATAGCATCATTAACTGCTACCTAGTAGTATTATAACTCAGCATTTTCAACATCCTATCGTCTCAGTTCTAATCCTTGACGCCAGCTCTTTCCTATGCCTGAAAAATACTATGCTAAATTAATTCCAAGCACATCTCCCAATTCTCAGCCCCAATATCACTCCTCCAGCAGCCCTTTCTAATGCCCAGAGATGATATCTTGTCTCCTCCACACCACTCAATACTTCCCCTCCAATAATGACCCCCATCTTGTACAATAGTCACGTATTTGTTTTTCCCTCTAGATTAAAAACTCTATGAAGGGAGGAATTGTGCTTAATTTCACTAATATTAGTGAAATTCCCCAAAGTAGAGAAGATAGTAACCAAGCCCAGAGCCACATTATAATTTAAAGGCCCAATTTTGCCTTTGTAGACGATTTTCCTCCACTGAAAATTTTTTAAATTATATTTTATAACTACCTTGGTATAATGATGAATATAATCCCAACTAAATATGTTATTATATATTTGGGGGGTGGACCCTGTTTTCGGATGGTGTCTTACTCTTGCTGTATTGTCCAGGATGCTCTTAAACTCCTGGGCTCAAATGATAATCCCACCTCAGTCTCCCAAGGGGTTGGGATTACAGTTCTGTACCACTATAATTGACTTATTATACTTATTATATTTTTTATGTTGTGATTATTAAGAGAAATTAAAATTAAAACATTTTTAAGAAAATGAGGCACTGAACCTACTGTGCCTAATAGATAAGTTGACCTGTAAGCATCAGTAATAAAAGAGTTAAAATTAGGGTTGGGGGTAAGCTCAATGGTACAGTGCTCAGCAGGAACTGGATTCAATCTTAATACTGCAAAAAAAGAAAGGTGGGGAGCAAGGAGAGTTCAAAGCAATGAGGAACATAAGAATGGGAAAGGGGCTACAATCTGAAATTAGACTGACTTTTGGGATAGGGCAGCAATATAGCTATGAAACAACTCTATGGCAAAAATAGAAAGAAAGAAAGAAA